AAAGATAATTCGTTGCATTAAATGCTAACTCTACCACACAACACACAAAAGTAGATTTATAATTTAAAAAATCTCGCGCAGAACATTATAAACCTACCATTTCAACTCAGTTAAAATATAATTTAAGTTTTCTTTAAATACAAAGCTATAACATACTTCTTTTTAAGAAGAGGTGTAACCAATATTACGTCATAAAAAGGCGTGTCCAAGCATAAGAGAAGTAAACACAGCATCGACTGATGCAGCCTATTCTGCGATTTAGCCAATAAAGGAAAAAATGTTTTAAAAAATGCCCCTTTGGATGTAATTTAAAATCTGAAACGTTTCAGATTTTTTTAAATTATTTTATTTTTATTAATTATACTATTTTTAATATTTAAAGTTTTTAATAGATGAATTTTCTGTGGAAATATTCATTTTTCAATTTAAAATTTACATTAACCCAGAACCACAAAAATTTCTCCACTAGAATGAATTAACTTCAGTTTAGAGGAACAAGGAAGTAAGGTAATGCTGTGACAGATTTAGCTTAACCAGAGTGCACCATGAGAAGGCCTGTCATATTACACCCTGAATCAACTTCTGTATACTGCATTAAAGGCACTGAAGGAGTTGTGGTATGCTACTCAAACCATAAAATGGTTCATAAATGAATTTAATTGTGGAATGCTCATAAAGCCAATGATCAGTTTTTACATAGTTTTATCATTACCTTTTGTTTTATTTTTGATACAAGTAATAGTGCACATTCCAAAGAGGAATTTATGGCAAAGGTTCCTGTTCCAAAGCATCATTTTTTCTCCACAATAATTGTAACAATTTTTAATAAACTTATTCTAAAATACTATTAAGAAATATTGTTATTATATGTGTCACGTTGGCAAGAATTACAAATTACACTGTTGCAGTGTGAAAAATGAGTGAAAACTGATATAAGGTATAAATAGTGAATAGTTTATTTTATTATTTTAATTCTACATGGGAATTTATAGAGAATGAAAATATTAATACTTGAAAGAATTTTCAAGTTATATTAGCAAAATCAAATTGAAAGAATATATAAATTTGAGAACTGAGAAATATTTATTTTCTTGCAAAATATGGTAATTTTAAAATTCTAATTAATATCCATAATATTTCAGTTTTTTTAAATTGTAATTAAACTGAAATACTCTGTCATTCATGAAAGATAATCAGACACTATTATAAATGCTTATGCTTAGCAATTTAACAAATGCAGAATAATAATAACCATTGTGATCAGTATAAATAAAATAAAGCCATATATGATGCACACTCATGTTTGCATCTAAGTAGTGGTTCTGATTACTGAACATAGCAAGCTCTATTTAAAATGTTATAAACCATCAAATTTAGTTTAAAAATTAGGAAGGTCATTTATTGCTCAATGAACTCATCAACAGTTGTCAACAAAGAATCTTTCACAGTGTCCACAACTGTAATATCTGAAAGTGATTAATATTTCTTGGAAAGTGAATAGAATACACACATCAGTGGTAGTCATTTTCTCTGTGATAATCATCTCTATGGGAGTGCAAAATTGTTTGGAACTACAGATGATTATTTTCAGAAACTTTCAGCACATTTTCTAAGAAGAGAAGTAAGTAGGTAGGAGAATGTTACAAAATTTATAATGTCTATACATTTTTCGATTTGTTACTTTTAAATAAAATGGATTGTTGAAGATATTATTGAACTCAGGTAATTGCAATAAACAATTTTTAATGACTGCCACTCATTAATTAAAAAAACTCTTGTATTTCAGATCTCTATGTATTCACGAGGCCCTCTTTGAAGGTCGGATCCTCTGGCGGCCATTTAACCCGCCACTGATTCCTGCTTTTAATATTCGGATAGTACATATGAGTGTACAAACACATATATGCAGAATTATACATACATAAATATGCATGTAGTGTACCATGTAACTTGAGTGAAGAAGCACAATATTTATATCTATGCATATGAATATTTACAACAGAATTTAATTAATATTTATACGCAAGGTAAAGCTAACCACACAAATGGAAATGGCTCATTGTTAATTATTAATTTCATTATTTTTATTAGTAAATAACAGATACAGAAAGTAAGATTAAACAACTACTTGTAATGGGTATCTGGTGTAGGTATGCATGCGTAAAATGAAGGTACTTACAGAAATACATACAAAAGTCGTTAATCCAGACTCGTCGGGACTTCGGCGATTCCGGATTATCGATTTTTTCGGATTATAGATCATGAGTTTAAATCTGGTAAGATGGCATGCAGAAATTATAAAATTAAAAATATGAAACCATAATTTATGAAATAAAGAACAATTATGATCTAAAAGGTATCAAAATTTACAGAAAGAAAAAGCTTAATATTTATTTGTTTACTTTATTAAACATTTCTTTCAATGTAAGTTGTTTAAGTTGCTTCGTTTCATGTGATAATACTTTTTCTTTAATTCTATAAACAGACATAATTTCTTCTTCAGTTACAAAGTTCCGCTGTTCAAAAATAATAGGCCGGATCCAATTCGAAGATTAAGGAACAACGCAATATGCAACATTAACTGAATTAGATTTTAGCTTAGCTTATACCGCTCGTTATACATTAAATACGCATGCGTAAACGTATTATGCGCATGCGCACACGCATATTCGCAGACGCATGCGAATATGCGTGTTAACGACTTGACTGTATTAGAATCTGTTTTTATACATTAACAAGACAAAGCTAATCACAAAATTATGGATAATTCACATATTATTCTATACTTTATTGCTCATACTATTTAGGTACACTAATTAATACTAGTATGTAAATTAAGGGAAAATGCTAGAATGCCATAACCATTATGTTACAATACAGTCATCATGGACTTTATAAAATATAAACCGAGAAAGTGGGGGAGATGTCTGGCAAATTATGACAAAATATTTCGGTTTCGATATGCTATATTCATAAATTGAATACCTAAATAAAGAGGGTTCATCAGTTCTATCAAACTTCTGTAGGATTGATAACCACAAGTTTGGCTCGATCTTTGGCAATTTTCATGCTCGAAAAAATTTCATAATTAAGTTAGATGTTTTACTAGGTGTTTTCATACATTGGTTTTTTTTTAACCCCTGGAATCTTTCATGATGTTAAGTGCAGGTGTCTGATATTCAAATGGATAAGAAATAAGATGACTGTTTTTTAGTTTTAGACTGAATATGCTTTCTTCTATTTGTTTGTCTTTTGTACTGTGTGAATTGCACTTTTTATACTCTCAACTATCTGGAATTTTCACAAACGGGGCATTTAAGGATTTTTTACACACTTTTTGTATGCTCAATTGTCTGTAATTTTCATTCATTGGGCATTTAGCATTTTCTGAGCTTTCCGAATGATCGAGCTTAAACATTAAATGCAAATATTTGTATTTAATATTTGTACATTTAATTATGTACTTTTGTTTGCCAGATAAAATTATATGAATATACATAGTACATGTTGTGATTGTGCACTGTTCTCTAAAACAGGCATCTCACAGGAAAATTTCTCTCTCTTTTTGCTTTTGTCATCAATGTTAGAATATTTGTCGTGGATAAGATTTTAGTGCCCAAATTCGCTTTTCCCGCTTTCCAGTTAGAGTGAAAACGACTTGAATTATTGTCGCAAAGGAATTGGGAACAATTATTTCAGTTAGGTCAAAAACTAATGTCAACAGTGACTTTGAGATTAATTTCTAAACAGAATATATTGCATATAGATGAGATACGAAGTGCATATTAAGTAACAAACAATATTGTTTGTGTTGAGATGTAAGGATAAGATGCTTAGATAGCTGAGTAAGTGAGTGAGCTACATCTGTTCATGTAAACTGTGGCAGAATTTATTGCTTTTGATAAAATATTATTCCCTTTTTACATCTTATGTTTTAAATGAAATTATTCATAATTCATGAATAAATTATTAAAATTATGATTTAGGTATAATATAAATATTGTTATAATGAAAATTAAAAAATATAAAAACAAAAAGTCATATTTAAGTATGATTAAGCTCTATATTCAGTGAATATGCAACAGTAATAATGACAAATATATAAATAAAATATACAAGCTTATTTTCTGATAAAATGGAATTTGTAACTAAACTATATATATTTGCATGAACTTACTGAATGAATTAGAAACTTTATTTAATTTACATGTTTGGTTTTATTATATAAAGGAAGTGATGTAAAAAACCTGAATCCATTATCAAATTCAGATTAATATATAAAACTACATTTCTTCCTGTATAAAACTTACTTTTATGAAAAAATTCAAAGAGGATTTTTAATTTTTATGAAGTTGGAGAGTGAAAGTATGGTTCAACATGTATATTATGCTATGATTGCAGAAAATATAACTAATTCTGATATAGTGTATAGTTTTTTTACATATCATTCTGAGCTGCTAGACATATCTTAAGCCCTTCACATTAAATAAAAGCTGTAACTGCCAGAATCATGCAACTGAATCAACAAGTGGAATACATAGGTCATATCTTCACCCCAAGTCAATACAAAGAAAAATAACAGCCGTATAATAAACATCCAGCATTTTCTGACAGTAGAATTCCATAGATTTGAAGGACAACTCAGTATCTGAAATCGACAAAAAAAGTTGGCTGTACTGTGTACCTTGTAAGGACGAAGTATCATTCAGTTCACCCTGTGACTGCGCAATTTGTGGACCAGAATCGCTTCAAATTTTTTTATTTTTTCAAATTTTAAATCTATATATATCGGAGAATTGAAAAATGCATTTTTTCTTTCTACAAAATATTTTTTTATAGATTTTTAAGGAATTAAGTCTCCAGAAAAACTAATTTCAGATGTTATCACCAAAGATAATTTTTTTAAAAATAAATTTCAGTTGAATTACAGCTAATTTCTATTTATTGCATAATATAAAAAAGTAAAATGTGTAAAATTTAAGAAAATATAAAGCACTGAGGAAAAAATACTTTAGACGTGCAGTTTAGTATGATAAAGTTCAAGTTTATTTAATCATGATACACAAATTTAATCATAATTATTTAATCATGATCCTCATCATTTAATCATAATCCTCAAATAGCGAGTCATCGCTATTTGAGGCAGGAGCAGCCCGAGAAATCTATATCACTATCACTATTGCTATCGAAACTAAAATCGCTTTCAGAATGTGATAAGTTATCAGGAATATACTCTGTGTCAATCGCTGAACGTTTTCTAGCAGCCATTTCTGTAAGAAAAAAGTGAAGTTTGAGCGATAATACCACGTGCCTTCAAATGCCGCAATTTAGTGGACAACTAACGACATCTGTTGGTCGAAACTCTAATACTGTGTATAATTTATTTCAATGGTTAAACCCCATCAGGGGCTCACTTTTGTGAGTACGGTTGTGGCAATCCTGAGGTACCCTAGCCCTTCAGGCGATCAACTTGATGAACCGGGTGTCACGATCCTGGAGCCCCAACGATCTGTCCTCTTTTCCGTCTCCTCTCCTCTCACCTAGTACTTTTTTTCTTTCCATTCTCCCTTGTGGTTTTCCTCTTCGGAGGTTGGGGCTCATCATGAGAAACTGGAACAGCCCTTGTCTCTGGTTTTCGAATGGCGAGAAAACTGCCCACGCGTTTGCCGTACGTGGAGACCCTTGTCCCTGGAAATGAGGGTCCTGGTAGTTGAGGGGCGAGGTACTGTCCCTAACACACTGCTTTGGCTTCTGCTTCTGCTTCAGCTAAACGGAAGGCATATTTCACAAGTGCACATCTGTGTAGCCACCAGAGGCGTGGCTTCTAGGATGGACCAATGGTCTTCCAGCAATACTTCTCTCATGTCACATGACCTTTCGCGCGCTTTAAGCAAGATGGTTGAAAATATTTTGCCGCGCAATTTCCAATATAAAATAATTAAATCACAATCGATTTCTACTGAAACTTTTTACTGCGAAGTCAGATCAAATATAAACAGCTGTGAAGATTTCACTACCTGGTTGAGAGAATTTGAAAGAAATACTAACACATGTTGGATACTTCGAAAAAGTTCAACTGATCAATCTCGATTTCTGTTTTCAAGGAACTATATTTGTCAGCATTCTTCATATCATAAAGTAAAGGTATGTACTTAAATTTACAAGTTCTATAACAGTTATGTAGCATTTTGTATTTAAGGGTAATTGACTGCAAAATGGTAACTGTAATTATTATTTAATGTACTGTATCTGAACTGAATTTAGTGCTGTTTCAGTTACTACATTCAGTTCAGACGAAAAAATATATATTTCTATACATTTGGAATAAAAATTGGGTTGATCTTTACAATATGGTAACTGGTAGTTTGGCGACATTTTGGAGGCGATAAAGGTTACTACCTGGCACTTTGGTAATAATGTGAGCAGTACTCAGTTCCGATTACGCATTATTTTGTGTGAGGGAAATGAGAGATCATGGGATATGTCATGTGATATTAATGAACGAATTACGGTTCTTTAATCGGAAAAGGGGGGAAATCGGGAAAAAATCTGGAAATTTTGTATTTGGCTTTATTCTGTGTTGTGTGAAACAGTGTTCGTGAATTTTTGGATCCCATGGCCGTAACTAAAGTGAATTCGAAATGGGTATTTATGTATGTATTAATTTAATGTATGTGCTCATTTATATTTTAAGTAGTGTTTTTGAATTTAATTATTATTATTTTAATTAAATGATAGTTATTTGTGAATTTTATGTTGTAGGAATTTGGTATACGTTTTAGTTGAAGTAAACGTGCATGGAAATAATTTAAATATCTGACAATAAGTATTTGTAATGGTTGCGGTATGAATTCGTTGGTGACGTGCATAATGTAATAGATGATTTAGAGGTAAAAGTTTTTGGATATTTTATTTATTTTATATGTGGAAATGTTCATATTTGGAAAGGGTAAATACTTTTTCGCGATAAGGTAATTTCATATATGTTCTTTTTACCGGGTTTAAAGATTGAGAAAATTGTCATGTATTTTCGTGAAATTTTTCTAATTTATGAGAAAAAAGCAGTGTACATGGATATAGTGAAGGGTGTGCGAAATGCCATTTTTGTGCAATTCTGGGATGTTTTTTTAAGTAAAAATAAGTCGGCGTGTACATGGTTTAGTGATATTTTAATTAAATGATAGTTATTTTGTGAATTTTATGTTTGTAGGAATTTGGTATACGTTTAAGTTGAAGTAAACGTGCATGGAAATAATTTAAATATTTGATACTAAGTATTTGTAATGCTTGCGGTATGAATTTGTTGGTGACGTATATAATGTAATAGATGATTTAGAGGTAAAAGTTTTGGGATGTTTTATTTATTTTATATGTGGAAATGTTCATATTTGGAAAGGGTAAATACTTTTTCGTGATCAGGTAATTTCATATATGTTCTTTTTACCGGGTTTAAAGATTGAGAAAATTGTCATGTATTTTCGTGAAATTTTTCTAATTTATGGGAAAAAAGCAGTGTACATGGATATAGTGAAGAGTGTGCGCAATGCCATTTTTGTGCAATTCTGGGATGTTTTTTTAAGTAAAAGTAAGTTGGCGTGTACATGGTTTATGTGTATGTGTTATTTTGAAAAACGTGTAAGGAGTATGGTATTGTGCACTTTTTCCCAATTTTGCAGTGAATATTTGTCATGATTAAGCAGTTTTGTTAGATAAAATTTCTAGCATAAGTGTAATTCGGCTAGTAGATTGTTGGAAGAAGTGTTCAGTAGATAAAAAGAAAAGAAACATGTCTTTACTTCGTGAAGGCAAAATGGCGGCGGGGAAAAAAAAATAGAGGGTTGCTGTAGGAGAGTTGGTCGCCAAATTTTCGCCAAAAAAACGCCAAGTTACCATAATGTAAAGATCAACCAAAAATTGTCTTAAAATTTTTAAATACAATTGCATAAATTTATTGAGAGTAATTTAAAAACTCTCAATAAAATTAGGAAATTCTATATTATTAGTATATTTATATTTTGCATCCGCATGAAGATTTAATCCAGATTCATTTAATTATTCAGGCTTAAATTTACTACTTAAATTATGAATGCTGTTATTTTGCAGGAAAAAAAAACTATACAACAAATAAAAGAAAAATGAATGCAAATTAAAAATGTTACTAATGTCTATTACTAGAATTTTAGCTGTACTAAAAGGTATGATCATTTTGTAAATAGAGTTTTATTTTAATTAGAGTTACTCATGATTCATCAGAATTAGTTTGATGTTGTGAATACTATGTCAGCCTGAAGAGAACTTTATCAAAATATGGTTTCTCAGTGCATTTAAGAACTTCATTTGTGTTATATACTGTTGTTTAAAACTTTAATTCTATAAGAAAAGTTCTGTATTAATTTCTATTAAATGATTTTAACATTAAAATACCTTTTAGAATGGTACAAATTATATATGTATTGACTTTCAGATTCCTAACTGACTAACTCAGGTTACTAATATGCGATACTACTGTCATATTAAATTTGCTATGAATTTAATCAGATTTGTCAACAAATTATAGTATTTACTTATACATTTATGATGGTGCTCCTTTCATCAGTATTTAAGAAACAAAATATTAAGATCTGCGAAAATTTATAATATCTGAATCAGTTAATAACTGTAAAAAATAACATTCTCTTATGCCAATATACATTAATGGCTTGTGGCTATATATATACAACCACAATGTGTGTATATATATATATATGTATGTATATGTTATGTATATATTTAATATATATATATATTATTATATATATACATAATAATATATATTTATAAATGTTATAAATATATTATAAATGTTATATTATAAATAATATATATATTATAAATGTTGAATAATATAATATATATATATTATAAATAATCTAATAATGACATTTTAAATATATGAAGTATAATAATATCGTGGAATTAACACAATGAATGCATTAACTTAATTAGTAGATGTTAGCTCAAAATTAAGTCCAGGTTTCAACACTGTTGTAACTCTAATCACTGTAAAGTCCATTTTTTTATTAAGAAAGAATTTATAAAATTAAGAATAAAGCCCATAAATCTATTTTTTTTATAGCATTTGAGTAAAAACATAATGGATTGTCTGAAACTTGAGACATAATGAACATGTTTTATTAACCTAATCAGTCCATTACCCTCTGCTTAAACACCTTTTTTAAGTACATCTTCCATAGAAATCATGTAATTATATTCAATAGACTAATTTATAAGGTGAAATTATTTTTATAACATTTTTATGATGGTCAGTGTCAAGCTACTGATCTTAAAGCTGCGCTTGTTAAATATACAAATTTTAATCACATAAAAAATGAAAGGTTTCTTTCTGTTAAGAATGTATCAAGATTCTGTATTCATTATGTAAAGAGATTCTGTGAAAATTTTATTTTAATCTACGTCTGGTCTGTTTTCAAATAATGATCTTCCTTTTTTAATTTAGACTGAAGGTAAAGATAAGAAATGCACTGCTTCTTTAAACATTCGAATAAAACGAAACAGCAAATACACTCGTTACAGAGATTCTTTGATCGGTGAAGGTTACTGTGCTGTTATTCATATAAATAATAATCACAGTCACAGAACTGGAGTTGCAGAAGCATGGAACTGGCTTCGCAGATCTGAAGAAACACAAGATATTTTTATAAATTTATTTAATAATGGTAAGTTATTTGTAAATTTCTTGTTAAAATCTTTTTCTATACAGAAACATATCTCTTAATGGTGGTTTGCAATAGATATGCATTTTAATAGTTTTAACTAGGTGTACAGACATGACCAAACTGTTAACCAGAGAACAGGGGCTCCATTACCTAGCTGACATGATGTCTGCCTTACACGGATTAAAGCCCCTGCCTCCAGAAGCTATTTATTATCACTAAGCAAAATAAGTTTACAGTGGCATACAAGGCCTTCAAGTACACAAGGACATAAGTAACATAGTCATTAATAAACCCTAAAGAAAGCATATTACAAGTAGTACCTATAGCATTCAAACAATAAACCGAGTATACTTTCATAATTTGTATTGCAAATACGAAATACTTTCAAAACTGAGTCCAACTAATTTAAATACAAAACTATGGTACAAACAAACAAACAAAATATAATACATCCATTACCGTATTATACACAATTAACTTCAATTAGATTCACAATATCAAGAAGAACCATTCAATTTAGAAAAAATGCATAAAGTTAAACTAAGATACTAATAAACTGCCAAATAAAATTTCTTCATATGAATTCAGAATTAAGAACCAATAACTTTGATAACTGAACAGTATTATCATAAAATACACTGAACCTGAGATATTACTACAATACAAAACATAAATCTGGTTTAAAAACAAAACCACTCCAAGTAATATAAAAATTCTACATCAGGTTTGCTGGCAACTCGATAGAAATGCAGGTAAATTTATGTCAAGTTGGTAGAATATATAAGCCTAAAAATTCACAATCTATATAGTATTTGGAAAGTTGCAACTCTCTCCTCCCCACAATTAAAAACTCAACAGAGCTGTTCTGAATATATCTTTTGTGATATTCCTTGAAGTTTTTCCTTGCGGGGGTCACCTGAGGGGCTGGTAATAGTGTGATGGAATTCACGCTGACACCAGCCTAATGCTCAGTATCAGTTCTGAATATATACATGAACAAACAATGATACTTTTCTAATAGGCACCTGCCAAGCATTTTTAATTGTAAACAACTTTCTGTTATAAGAATAGTTTATAGATGGCACACACACAGCCTACCTTTCCATTATACACACACATGCCAAAATGCATGGCAGGTACTTAACAGAAAAGTACTCAAACAATAATTCTAAATATATCAGTGCTACTGTATGTGAAAGAAAACACTAACTACTTTATATAAAAAATTATTTGAAAGTTTTCCATTCTTAATTTAATTTTAATGAAAATCAACTTTCGATCAAACTTACAGATTTACAATCATGCTGTATTAAGTTAAATTTTTAAACTTCTGTTTTCTTACTTTCTTACTTATAAATATATGCATATAGAAAGTATTTAAAAATACTTTATTTACAATAATGATCTTGCAGTTTAAAAAGCAGTATTTTTTACAATGTATATTATACTTGTACTGAATTTTTTTCTTTACACCAAGCCAACAGATGGGCTTTCTTTCTGCGGGCTTTGTTCATGAATCAAGGTCCATATTAAAATGCTCATGAAACATGCGAAATCTTGCTTTACCTTTATTGTAAGCAATTGGCAGATGAATATATTCATAGTTGGCTTATGAGGGGCTATACTATCAGTATACTCATCTAGTTCTTAAGAAACAAACTAATTATGTTTTGCTAATGTAGGAGGGTGGGTGGGAACTGCATCATTCATAGCTGAACATCAGTTTCTGAAAATTAAAACACTATTTTAATTTTCACCCACAATTATTAGGTATGACGCCAGCAGCTGCAAAAAATTTCCACGAATCGTCATTAATGATCGAATCTCCAGAACAACTGGCCAACAGCAGAATTAATCCACCTGCAAAATGGATTTACCAAATTCATGAAAAATGGTTAAAAGAAAATTTTGGAGGATTGAACTATGGACCAGATTTTGAAAAGTCAGTATTTTATCATGATAATTAAAATGTTCCAGTAATATAACGTACTTGCTAAATTTTTATAATAATTATGATTTCTCTATTAAATTTTAGAGTTACTAGTAGAAATTTAAAAACTAGTAATACAATATCTTGCTCTACATATTAAAACTATACACAATTTTAAAATAAGTAATGATTTCAATTTATAAATTTTTTAAATAATTTTAATTTCTACTGCTTAGATAATAAGAATTTAAAAAGGCTTTATTACTTCACTTCCACATGCATAGAAACAAATCTTAAATATCACAGCCTGAATGTAAATTATATCTGAAGCGTTATATTTTAAAATGGTGATCTAAATATGTTTAGTTAACTGATATAACATCTTGTTAATTGCTATATTTATTCATCATATCAAAGAACACTGTAGGGTTTGAATGTGTATAATACTTTGAAACTACTCAAGTAGCAGCAAAGAAATTAAAGTTTTCTGAAAAGTTACATTTAATTAATTATATATTATTTCTAATAGGATTTGATATATCACATTACAATTATAAAACAATGGAAAATGTTAAATATATATACAATACAATAATCCACTTAGATTAGTAATATTTCTAAATAGTTTAATAAAAAGGCATGAGAGAATTGTAATAAAGTTAGTGGTTAAATAATCATTTTTGTCAATATTTTCAATAATTATTTATATGCTTTTTAAATTATGCTTAAATCTGTGAGCTTATGAATACAATTACAGTTACAATATGCAAAATTAAAGTGCATGTTATAGAGTAAATTCATAATAATTAAATATATATATTTCTTTTATTCCTTAGAATTGCACTAAACAGAATTAAAGAGTATCAAGAAAAAGGATCACTTATCGAATTTGCAACTAATCCTCTCTGCATAGCAGTCATAACACCCCTAATGCAAAGAATGGTGAAAAGTTTGGAAAAATCACATTCCATTTTTGTAGACTCTAGTGCATCATGTGATCAGGCAAAGAGCTCTATAACTGTGGTTTTAGTTTCCACAAAAGCTGGGGCAATACCAATCGGGATAGGTATACATAGCTTTCAAAATGAAGCAAATTACTCGAAACTGTTCTCCCAGTTGAGAGAGATGTGGGAAAAAATTAACTTATTCACAATCGAAAATTTATGACTGATGACAGTGCAGCTTTAAAAGCTGCATTACGCCAAATTTTCCCAAGTACGAGGCAACTACTGTGCCAGATAATTTCATGTTCCACAAGCTTTCTGGAGATGGTTGTGGAATTCCCAAAACAGTATAGCAAATGATGATCGCAAAAACATCATGTTTCTGTTTAGACAAATAATGTACGCTACCAGTGTAGAAGAATATGCAGAGAATGTTAATAAATTTTTTAACTCAAAGTATGTACAGAATTATCCAAATCTAATAGCACACGTATCCAGTTTCTTAAAAAGAAAAGAAGAATGGTGTATGTGTTAGAGACTGGATGTTCGAAATCTTAGCCATAATACAAACAATTATTCAGAAGCTACAGTAAGGATATTAAAAGAAATAATTCTGACATGCCTCAAAGCATTCAACTCAATAGCTTTATTAGAATTTGTGCTTAAAATTTTGGAAAAGTATTTATCTAAAAGACTGCTAGATATCGTGTTCGATCGCTTGAAGAAACCACATTTGCTTTTCAAAAGTATATTGATAAAGGGCAAAAAATAATTGAAGAGTGTACAGTGGAAAAAGAAGACAAAATTTACATTGTGCAATCACAAAATGATAACACATATTATCAAGTTGATATTGGCATATGTAGTTGTCCTGTAGGAATCCAAGGTGCTTTCTGCAAACATCAGGCAGCTGTACACATTAAATTTGGTGTAACATTTCCAAATGCTCCCATATTAACCATGCAAGAAAAGAAAAATTATTATTGTATTGCTGTAGGCAGTACAAATGTTTGTATGAGCTTTTTAGAACCAATGACACCTGGTCCCAGTCATTCCAGTCAAACTACAGATATTATGGAAATAGATCCATATACCGAACAAGAAAATGCTAACAGCTTACAATCTACAAATACTTTTCTCAACTCTTTTTCTGATACTGTTGTAAACAGCCATGGAGACACATTCAATTCATCATGCATATCAACAACAGAGAAATCAGTATCTTCAGAAAATGCTAGCATCATATCAAAATTTCGAAGTGAAATGGATCGCCTAGCCAACCTCATGGAAAACAACCCTGATACTGGTATTTTAAATTTGACAGAAAAATTTTTTGCATAAAACTAAAAATATTTGTACAACATCAGATTTATATCATTTTTTTTTTTTTTTACCAATACTCAAAAAACAAATCAACTTTTCGTTTTGGCCGAAAAATTAAAGTGCAGCCAACTTCAATAGCTTGACGAAAAGCTTCATCATCAAGAGGCAGTTTAACTGTTCGAAGACCTCGAACAGGCATTAGCATAAAATCAAAACGACCACGATGTCTTATACAAAATATTTTACAAAATCGTCCAAATGCTATAAGCCATGAAGAAGGTCACTAGCATATTTTAGTTGAATTAGTTATGGTATTGAATGTATTTACTTTTTTATATTTATATTGTTGTATTTACTTTAAATTGATAGAAATAAAATAAGAATATATTTAATTTCAGAAATTATATATATGTGCCTAATTAAACAATAAATGATTTTATTTTGAAAGACACAGTTTTAATTATGCAAAACTTATAAACTGAAGATTTTTCTGTCATGCAAAACATTATCTAACACTATATCATATTTTACAAGGTATAGGCAACTTATAACAAACAAAAGAAAATTGGAATAAAAATATGTTCATATTTAATGACTAAGGCCACAATAGGCAATTGAAACTAACTTTGAGTACCTGGCAGCAAAATATGAACTATATGTTCAGATTTTGTAGCTTTAGTAAAACAATTATACCCATTTTTTCAAACCATTCATTATAATACTGAAGGTTTAATTAATTTTCAGTGTTATAGGTAACAAATTATATTGCAGTTTAAAAATTTCTGCTGTAATGATATATTAATCTCACAATATTGCATAAAGTGAAAACTATATTGTATTTCAAAGATTTCTATGTATGGTAAATGTTATTGTCATACATAATTTCCATTCTAATGCATAAATTTCTACATACAACTATGTAGGGTACCAAATACATTTTAATCTGATAAAATCAACATTTGCAGAAGTTCTTACTCTGCAAATGTTATTTATAAACACAAAAAACTGATTTTCTTGCAATATATATGTGATATTTTAGAAACATTAGATGAAGAAACCAAATATGCAGCTAGCTTTTAGGAAAGTAGCAATCATGATAACCGAGCTGAGTATAGGAAAAAATGCAGAAGTGATGTCGTAATTGGATGTTGTCTGTTTGAAGCAGCAGAAAAATCAATCAAAATGGAAACTTTTTTTTTAATATTTGATTATTTTTCTCTTCAGAAATATCATATTGAATAGCACAGCATAGTGGAGTAAAAATGTGCAATCCCACAATTTTAAATATGAAGTTACTAGTAAATAATAAAATAGTTTACTACCTCTATACATTTTATTCTTTCATGACAAGCTATACTTTTAGTTTGAACTAATTAGTTCAAAATGCTCCAACATATTTTGATGTTAACAGGCAGCAGCCAAACTATTCATGCTGTTTGGCAAGGAAGTATATTTTCAACATCAGCAGATAGATTACACAGGTATTTAGATTTCTAATGCACATTATTTGGCACTCGCATCAAACAGATTACTGTTCTCTACAGTTAATCGCTGCCTCCATATAAACACTGCTACGAACGCAAGTGACTTTTCTATAGCAAAGTCAAGTCCACTTCTTAATTTTAACACTTTCATGGCAGGTTTGTTGACGTTACATATACATGGTATATCTTCCATAATGTACAATGTTGTTGCATAAGAACTGGCAGTCTCGTGATTTTCTGTCAGAGACTTATCTGAAATTATTAAATTATTTTGGGGGGGAAGTGTAGAATCACCCACTGCTTGGCGCGTTTTTAAGAATTGCACATACTCGGTATCCATGTACACATTGCCCTATCTTCACTTAAAAAATAAAGAAAATTGACAAAAATCCAATTCTTCTTACTCTTGTAAAAAGCGCCAAACAAACACCAATCACACAAGTGGGCGATTATGCACTTTAGCCTATTTTTGCTTCATTTCTTGGCAGATCTAGTAAATACATAATGTAAAATACATTAAAAACTAAATTTATAAATAAATAAATAATAATTACAATAAAACAATGTCTTTAGAACTTTACATGGGGAAAAAATCCCTCTTCTTAATTACGAAATGCAGTTATTCCTGATAATGGTCTGAAGTTGATTTTCGAAATGCTATCCTCAGTAAACCAAAAGAATGAAAACAACAAAGATGACATTAAAAAATAACAGGGATTAAACATATTCTAAATGATTTTAAGTACAAATATTCATGTGAAATATTACTTAACTAGTGGTAAATAAGATGATAAGAAACGTGATAAACATCTGAGCCCAAATGCTTTCTTTACATAAAATTATGCATATGAGAATAATATTTAAAACCAATTATACTTGTATATGTACGTAGAAGTCAGCACGTTTTCATTGCAGTCTATATGAAAATAAAAGATGTTCTATAATAATAGCCAATAGAGTTTTATTTGAAGTGAACGTTCCAAATTTGCATTTGTATACATTTAGTGTGTTAAATTTCACATTTAATAACTGCTCACTCTTAAATGTACTCTCTGCACAAGAAATATTCATCAAACAGGATGAATTTATCTTATCAGAATTTATTCATATATAACTTTTAATGTTAACAATGGATATAATCATATATCCACAATAAATTTTCTGAATCTTACACTTTCAAAATCAACAGAATGCAAGCACTGAGATACGAAAATACCAGATTTCTTGTAACACTTCCAATCCTTCTCAGCTCAATGAAAATAACAAAAAATATACACTTGAATTCTCTTAATCCACAGCTGTTAGTAAAATGTATAATACTCGAGGCTAATTGTAGCTTGAGTGATTTTCTCGATGTAAAGAGCGATAATATGCCGTGAACAGCAATCCAAATATCAACGCGTGATAAAAATCGCGAAAATGAAACGTCAGCGATTAATTAAACTCCTAAAACTAAATCACTCCGAGATTTTCTACTACTGCGACATACATTTATAACTGCGCAACAAACAAAAATTGAAACGTAAACAACATGCGCTGATATGCACAGTTTTAAAGATTTAGCGTCACAAGACCAGCAGAAGCTCATTGGTCCATTTTCGAAACCCCTTCCCCGGTGGCTGCGTTGATGTGCACTTGTGAAATATGCAAACGGGAGGAACCTTAGCCGGTGACAATCGGCTGATCACTAGTCCTTGTGTCAGTGGCTTGGGGATAAGCTCTCGGGAGTACCTGCTCTCGGGAAAGCCGACTGTGGGGCTTCAGTTTGCGTATAGGTCCGGCTAGCCCTGACACAGGAATCTGTGTTCCCTTGTTGGGCTCCGTGGTGGTGGGGGCGTCGGAACCGAATTTTTTTTCTTTCAGTCATGGTTTCTCTATTTATTCTAAAAAAAAACCTGAGTCAAATGAAACCAACCAAGATATTGAAAGTGTCGACAAATCCATTAGCAAGAAGATCCGTACTGATGCAAATGCCAAAGATATCGAAATTATTGAGAAATCCATTAGCAAGAAGATCCATACGGATGCAAATGCCAATGAAACTACTGATTGTCCGCGCTTTGTTGTTGTTTCCAGTGCCTCTGGAGAATTGCAAAAGGTGTCTCCTTTCCTGGTCAGCAAATACATTCATTCATGCATAGGTGAGCCGAGGAACATAAAGCGTCTCCGTTCTGGAGACCTGCTTATTGATACCGTTTTGGCCTCCCAGGTTGCTTCACTTTTACGTCAAACCAAACTTGGACAAGTATCTATAACTGTGTCAGCGCACAAAACATTTAATTTCTGTAGAGGTGTGATCTCGATCGACCTTTTGTGTGTTTCAGAAGAGTTCGTCTCCGAGTTAGCTGACCAAAATGCCTGTGGTGCTAGGCGGATCAAGATGCGAAAAGAAGGCCAGTTGATAGACACGAAACACGTGATCCTGACCTTCATATCTCCTGATCTGCCGAAGAAAAGTCTTGGTATCTTAACTGTCCCCCGTAAGGCCATATATTCCCAATCCAATGGGATGTTTCCAATGCCAGCGTTTTGGTCACTCTAAGACGTCATGTCGTGGCAACCTTACGTGCGACAGATGCTCATTCATTGGCTACGATAGTGATAATTGCAACACTGCGCCATTCTGTGTAAACTGCAAGGGTGAACACCCAGCATTTTCTCGCTCTTGTCCTAAATGGTAATCTGAAAAGGAAGTTCAGGCGACAGAAATAACTAGAAACGTATCTTATGCTGAAGCCATGAAAATAGTAGAAAGCTCACAAGTGAGCCCAAATTTATTTTTTGCCAATGCGGTTAAGTCCACGAGATCAGATGCCATCCAAAAATCTTTCTTTTCATCAACAAAACGCCAAGAGCCTTAAATTAATAACAAAAACAAGAAAGACCCACTTCACACAACCCAGAAGAAAGAAATAGTAATTCAGAAAAATCCAAAAAACAAGCCTACAAAAAACAGCTAACAAAAACTGAAATCTGAGCAATAGCTCAATTGACGATTTTATATCTGACACTCCGGACTATGGAAATAGAAAAAGGAATGGAAATCCCAAAACACCTCCTTCCTCAAAAGACAAAAAAGCAGCACCGAAAAAATAAACAGGAAACATAATGGTCACCCTTATGTCTTGGAATTGTCGCGGTTTCCACCGAAATTTGCTCGACAACAAAGCGATAATCAATGCTTATAATCCTGTATGCTTAGCAATACAGGAAACAAATCTGAAACAGGAACAACAAGCAAAGCTTCGGAGGTTTCTTTAGTCAGGAAGGATAACCTTGCAGGTGAGCTTGCCAGTGGGGGTGTAGGCCTCCTCACCTCACTGGACTATCCATCAAATGGACTTCCTTTGACGACATCCCTCCAAGTTGTCACTACTCAATCAACATTTTATAGTGTCGTCCCAGTCGTTTCTCTGTATTTGCTTCCAAATGAGCGCAATTGATCAGCAAGATTTAAATGGTCTCATAGAGCAGCTGCCTCAGCCCTTTATCATAATAGGAGATTTTAACGGCCATAGTCCGCTCTGGGGTAGTAAATATACAAATTGTCGAGGAAGACAAATTGAGCAGATGATTGAAGATGCCTTTGTCTCCTGAATAACGAGCAGGATACTTACTTCCATGAGCCTTCAAGGACATTCCACGCTTTCGATCTTGCCATCTGTTCACAATCTCTGTTGCCATTTTGCACTTAATTGTATTAAAATCAAAGGTGTACATAATATATTGTATGCATATTTCAATATATTACCTAAATGTAAATAATGGAGCGTGAGGACTGAAGAAAGGTTTAAAATCCCTGCACAAAAACAAGTCAGTCTAGTACTGTAGTCCTCTTATAATGCATTTATATAATTTATTTGCACAAGATATTAAGATCTCATTTCCTGGGAAGAGCATGATGGTCTGCTGAGGATTGAGGAGCTCGTTCTGCAGCGTGGAATAAACATAACTTTTAAATCGGAAGGGTTCTGATGCGGCTATTCATAACTGTTATAGAAACTTTTAAAGAAGGCTAGTTAAGTAAGTGGAAAGATACGTGGTGGTTTATTATAGCTATCTGGTGTTCCCCTTACTTACCTCTACTTGTCTATGCAGCGCACTTTGAAATAATCTAGGTACTATTCGCACAATTGTAGCTCGTTTAGTTCCCTGACCTGTTGTTAGTCAGTCTAGAAATTTTATTTTTTGGTTCATTGTTAATCATTCTAGAAATGTCTTTTCTTGATTTAGTTCATTCTAAGAGCCTCCTTTTCTGTCCCATTACTAATACACTAAGGGCTTCCTTTCCTCATAGCCAATCATCCTAGTATCGCATTTTCCTGATTTATATTTGTAGCAGTTTAAATTTTATCCCTAAGATGATGTCATCTCTTACTTTAACTTTGAAATAAAATTTCTTTAAACACACACACACACACACACACACACACACAAAAAAAAAAAAAAAAAAAAAAAAAAGAAAAAAAAATTACCTAGC